ATCTGCTAATTATAGCTACAGGGCCTCTTCACGATTGCATGATCCTGCCAGCTTACCTTTCGTGATTGCGGTCACTCTCCTCACAGTCACATACCCTTCCTTGTGATTGCAATGTTTTGCCCGCCTGAGCTTTGCAATTGCATCTTGTGTCTTGCAGTCAGCACCGATCACCAGCAAAAGTCTGCCAATTCCAAATGCCCACTAAGGTTCTGAAACACCCCCGAGCTCCTCGGGTCCAAACTTGAGAATGACAACAAGTCCCAAAACATGTTATAAACTTGTACAAAGTCTCGAATCGCTCAATGGCATCTAAAGTTCAAAAAGAGGGGTCGGGTTTGCAAAGTTGGCTTTTAAGCTTTCTAAATCTCAACCGTGTTTAAGAACCTTCCCGAGTCCTTTGGGTTCTGAACTGAACTATCCCACTAAGTCCAAAATACAATACGGAGCTAACCAAAGCATCACAACACAAAAGAGTACATATTCTCGAAACTTGGGTTCTGGTTGTTACATTGTCATATTTAAAGCCACAAGTTCTAGAGTTACTTTTGGTGTGTGCCGAAGGTCTTATTTTCCTTCACCTAGTTAAACACCACCATATATTAAATAGAACATAGGTAGTAAATGTTTTATTAAAATATTATCTGATTTGCAGATATTCTTATCATTATTCAATAAATTACTTTCCCAGAAATTATTTTTCAGTAACCTAAACAGCCTCTCTATCTTCACAAAGTAGGAGTAAGACTGCATACACACCATCCTCCCCAAACCACAAGAATTACACTGGGTATGTTATTGTTGTTACTCCGTCCGTTTCAATTCGGTCGTCATATTTTGACTTGGCACGAAGTTTAAAAAAACTAAAGAAGACTTTTGAATCTTGTGGTACTAAATTGAAGATATGAAAAACAATTTCAAAAATATAATAATAAAAGATATGTCAAATGCATCAAAATGCCCTGTAATCTTGTGGTCTTAAAACATGCCATGTGTAAAGTTGGAATTAGAGAGTTGAAACGGACTAAAAAGGAAAGTAGGACAAACAAATTGAATCACAAGGAGTATTTTTTAGTTTACCAGCCAAACACCAAGAAACATATTCCAGAAAGTATTTATCTGAAAAATGAACTTTTTTCCATGACACTTTTTAGGAAACATGGTCTTAAATTTACCTTTTGCAATTGGATCTCAGTTGTTCTCAACAATGATGGCCATCATTTAAGTCTTCAGGTAGCACCATTAGATCTTCAATCAGGTGGAAATTCTCGTATTCTATATGAACATGTTCCTGCGGCTTGGATGAGTATTCTTGTACACACTTTTTTGTTCCTATTAGCAAAGCATCCCCTTTTTCTTCGCTTTTCCGGAACCGGTACAGAAATAGGTGCTTTATCTCTGTTGTTTATCTTAGTTACTGGTTTTTTTTTGGGGAAAACCTATGAGGTGTGGGATGCTCGTTTAACCTCTGTATCCATTTTGTTCCTTATTTACTTGTGTGCACTGCGTTTTCAAAAGCTTTATGTCGAACTGGCTCCTATTTTAGATCCATTCAACGAATTGAACCAAAAAATCGAATTAACCTATATATCAGTAAAGTGTGTCATCAAACTTCCATCGAAGAGGAGCAAATGAAAGTCTTTCATAAATGTTCTCGTAGAATCATCAATCTCTTACAAACGACTTGTAACATTGAAGAATTCCATTGAGATACTAAAAGTTTCAAAGCAAGGAAGAACAATTTAACTTGGAACTATGTTAGGAAAATAACTTGTTTGCTATTATTATATGGCTAAAAGGTCCTTGTAACCTCCCCCCCCAAAAAAAAAAAAGAAGTGATAGAGCTTAGTCTGAAGATGCTTTCTGTTTGACAATTTAAGTGTGAACGGCTGTTCTGCTCTGGCTATACAGTTGCCCTATCACTAGAGTTGGGAACAGATAGAGTAACTGCTGATACTTGCACAAGGTGTTAAAATCTGTGCTGCCACTTAGGTTGTATGTGATTCCATAATTCCATCTTCTCCTTCTATCAGAGCAGGTAGGAATGGGTAAGTACCTAGTAGAAAAGAAACTTTGAGCGTCCACTAATTTGTTCGCAGGGATGCAAGTGATATGATTGGAGAAGGTGCTAGAAATCTTAAAAAGAGTACTAAGAAAGAAAGTGTGTTATTTAGAATTTCTTTGTGAGGATGTGCTTCATTTGGAGAGGAGAGTGGTCAATTTCTTTTGGAAGACACAGATTAAGTAGGTCATACAAATTGGTGGCAAACCTATTTTCTCAGATGGGCGACAAATACTTGAATTGATTTTCAGTCTTTCCATATAATCTAAGTGTTCATGGATTTCATGATTCCAAGGTATGTGCTTTCTCCAGATAATCAGTGCATCAGACGAGGTTGTTGCTAGCATCGATAGAGATGAATTGGCAAGATATTGTGCCCTCAGAAGTGATCCAGAAGATGAGGCTACAGAAGTGAGTGTTCATCTTTTGGTATTCTTACCTCTGTTACAATTTCAATTGAAGAAAAGTAGTTATCGTAGCAGTTAATGTTGTCGTGTCGATACTTTCTATCCTTTTCACCTTCTGCTAACTGTAAAAACCTGGACTGCTGGATTTGTCCTTACATCTCAGCAGAGCAGCTTTTTCTGCCAAGAAACTAGTCATAACAACAGTCTACTCCATTTGACAGAGACTGAAGAAGAAGATGGAGACGACCCGTGACCAGTTAACTGAAGCACTCTACCAGAAGGGATTGGCTTTGGCTGAGCTTGAAGCATTGAAGGTAATGAATGACTCTTTAATGGAGCGATGGACCTTCTATCCTTGCTCTTGAACTGACCTAAGCTACGTGGACTCTTCACTTTCGATGCCACACCCGTGTCAAATTCGCCAAAAATACACTATTTTTGGAGAATCCGACACGCACCTGTTGACATTTTTCAAGAGTCCGAGCAACATAGATGCTTACTGCTGAGATGATTGCCAATGCAAATAGGAATAAAGATTGGCCTTTGAATGAAAAGTGCTTTGCTTAAAAAGCTTAATCTTTGTGAGTTCTGGAACTTAAAAGCAATAATATAGGCCATTAGATACTTGTCCAACAAAAGAAGAATAAGCTGGACGGAAGCAGTTTGTTCATTTTGTGTAGCTCCTGAGACTTCATTCAGGCATTTCACTTCCAGCATATCTGCTAGAATGGATTACCATGGATCTGTTTGATTTTAAACATCAGTTTGTCTTTGTGCAAGGTGCATTACACATTCTGCATTCAGTTATAATTGATTATGCACAAAAACTGTTGCATGAAGTGCCCAGGGATTCTTCTTTATTTTATTTATTCTTTTTTTTTTTTTGAGTGCCTAATGAGGTGATTATGGTTTTGTGGTAGGGTGAAAGCACTGCAGATAAGGTAGATATGTTTGAAGAGAACTTCAAAGAGCTAAAGAAATGGGTGGATCTGAAGTCCTCTAAATATGGCATACTTTCGGTTTTCCGTGAGAGGCATCATGGAAGACTTGGAACCGCACTTAAGGTACAACTACTTTTGAGCATTTTGTAAATGTTGCAAATTTTAATTAGTGCATCAGTACGCTATGTATTCATTATTTTCTCGGTTAGATGATTGAACTTCTCTCTCATTCTTGCTCGCTATAACAGTCGTTCATATCTTGAACTTGGAATGCATGCATTTTTATAACACTGGTTAGCTCATGTAATTACAGGATCTTATTTATTTAAAAAAATGATTAATTGCTGACTTGTTACATCAGGTTCTAAATGACATGATACAAGATGATGGTAGCCCACCCAAGAAGAAGTTTTATGAACTAAAGCTCTCTTTGCTCGATCAGATAGGATGGAGCCACTTGGTGGTATATGAGAAACAGTGGATGCAAGTACGATTTCCATCGTCACTACCTCTTTTTTAGTTTTTGTTCAGTGAGCGCACAAAATTTAGTAGAATACGAGAGAAAGAGAGGATGTGAACGGAGTTCTGCATAAAAAAAACATGATCACTTATGGCACAGTGCAATGTTGAATAAAATTCTCTCTTTCCAATATTCATCTAGTTTGTTTTCTTCAGTCCTACTTAGAAGCAGGATTGCATGTCTAAACTGTGTAATTTAAACTTTGTATAGAGGTGATCTCGCACCGCCTTAGCTCCATGTGAACTTTTGTTGTGTATCTGGGTATTTATGGTTTCCATGGACATTCAACCACAACATTCAGAATACGGTTATATAAGTGGATTTCTGGTGTGAGATTACACTTGTCATTCATGTTGCAAAGCTTGGCTGTGTTCATTCATTTTTTTGGACTCATATCACTACTTATCTTACTCTGTATTTAGAACACAAGTCATGTAGAAGTTTGGGTGTGGAAACCATAGGGCTTTCGGATAATTTCTTTCAAAAAAGCTGTACAAATGGAATCACGTTATATTCACAAGGTTACTCCTTGAGAAGTTTGTTATATTTCTTTTGAGTGTGTATTTCTCTTCTGCCCAAATGGACCCTTTATCCTTATTTTCCTTCCATAGTGTTCAGTATGAGCTTAACTGACCGAATTTAGTAGTAAAACGGTAGTAAAAGAAAGGAAAACGTCCGACCTATAGAGTCCATAGTTAATTGGTTGCAGTTAGGTTGGATGTGTTTGACCTGCTTCGTTTCTTCTCATGTTCATTTGTAATATTCTTTTTTTGTTTGATTGTTTGGTGATAACGATGGTGTCGGATTGGTTTTGCGCACTTTGATTACAATACAACTATCATTAGTTCTGGCTACGAAGGTTTATACTAATGGAAATAAGTTATCTAGTATCTTTTGTTTTGTTGGAACTTGAAATCTTATGGTTCTCTCAGTTTGTTGATCACTTGGTTGCGTTCGTTTATGATTCAATATCTCTAATGAAAATCATTTTACTGCAACTTAATATTCATTTGTTATGCTCACTCTCTCAGTATCTCTTGTCATGAGTAGGTAGGTATTCAACTGTTATGTATTTCACTTTGATGATATAATCAGTACATGAATTCGACTCCTGGAAAATGAGGTATACTTCTGTAAGCCATTGCTCCTCATTCTCCCGTGTAAAGTTTTTTTTTAAAAAACAAAGTATAGTAAGAGTACAAAACCAAAATTCAGACAGATTTGGCTAACTCTCAGAGCTTAACTAGGTACTAGTTTGCTGATTATTCTAATATGCTAAATTAAAGTGGTTGGAGTATAAGAGGTAATCCAAGTGTGGGTCGAAGAGAAAGCATGATAGAGGGGCAGTGTTTATAGTTAGGTGAAATGGAAAAGGAGAACCTTGTCAAGATTAAGGACAAGACAATCTTGTACTCCATCATAGTCAAATTCCTACCAATGCACATCCTTCCTCCAAAACCAAAAGGCATAAATCCCATCTTATGTTTACATCCACCATGGATGTCATCCTTAAACCTTTCTGGTTTGAACTCATTCACATCTTCACCCCAAAGTGTCTTGTCATGATGCATGGACACCACATCAATCCACATATTTGTTCCATTAGGGATGACCAAGTCATCCACTTGAATGTCTTCTCTAGCTTGCCTCTGTACATTTGGTGCTGGTGAGTATAGTCTTAGTACTTCATTCATCACCCATCCCATCTGCATTAAATATACGTTTCGAAAAAGTCAACACCATATGATCTTGAATATTTGATTTTTTTTCTTGTGTTTAAAAGGAAACAATTTGTGTGTCTATAAATCATCTTATTCATAGTAATATTTTTTAAAAATAAAGTTAAAAAAATGTGTCACAATTGGCTTTAGAGTCGAGGTGTGGCCGGTGAGTGATGAGTTGTTAATCAGCTGGAAGCCACATTTAGGTGCATATAGGGAGTTGACACATGTAAAGCAAATAAGACCAAGTCTCATATAGTTTAGATTCCACCACGTAATGTATTGTTCCAATCCCAAATCCTTGGAATATTCTTCTGTCTGTGTCATTAATTGCTGTTTTCACTGTTCACTATTATTTGTGATTTTGATTTTTGAATTGAACCTTAAACGTGCATGTTGACCCCCGACCAAATATTTTTTGGGACTCCTAAGCCGTCCCATAAAAAATTGGTATTCCCTCTTCGACCTTTCCTTATTATACACCTTTTAATGAATTATAAATAAATAAAAAGGCTAAGTTTACTAATTTATCTTTTAAAGAAACATTTTTGGACCTTACTCACTTGTTTGTTCATTCAAAAAAGAATTATTTATAAGGATAAAATAGAAAAGATAATTAAATTAACAAATAATTTAGGACAAATATTCTTAATAAGGTGGATAACTAATAATTTATGCGAGATACCTTTTGTATCACAAAAATATGAACTCAAAATTTATGTTTCCGTCACACTCACGTAGGTGTTGTAGTAAAAACTAGAGACACAATTGTCGTGTCTCTCTGAATGGGTTATAGATCGATTAAAATTGGGTGTCAACAACAATTATATTAGATTAGTACTTGATAAAGAAAATGATTAGCTTACCTTCCTAAGACCAACAAGCTTAGTGACATCTATTTCACCATCACCCATCACTTGTTTGATTTCCTCTCTGAGCTGAGTTTGCCACTCCGGATGCTGTGCCAGCAGCAACAAAGTCCACGCGAGAGCCAGCGCGGTGGTCTCATGTCCTCCGAAGAAAAACGTTTTACATTCATCCACCATTTCCCTCGTACTCAACATCCTCCCATTCCCCGCTAGTAGAAGACTCAGAAGATCGTGCTCTGTACGATCAACACTTGTCTTTTTTCGCTCCTCAATAATTGAAATGAGGAGCGAATCGATCTCCTTGCCTAGATTATTGGCTTTTAAGGTCTCTTTTAGACACATTATTTGATTTCCGTACGGTACCCCTACATAACGCGTAGACTTGAATAGTGTGACTTGCATGTTTCTTAATTTTTTGAATACTTTTTCGCCTTCTTCGTAGCTAATACCGAAGGTTGTCTTTGCGATGATTTCTCCTGCTGTATTTATGATTTCGGACTCTACATCGATTTCCGCGTTCCCAGAATCGATGAGTGTAGCCCAACGGTCTAGCATGTGTGTGGCGGAATCCGCCATTAAGCTTGCCATCCCCTAAAAGCCAAATTAAAATTAATACAATTTCATGGAAATGGGGTATTAAGTGTAAAAATTTGGATGTAATGTTGTCCCTATAATTTGCGTTAATTGTATATAATGATAGTATAGTGTATTTAAAAAAAAATAAAAAATCTCAGGTCATCTAAAAGATATGAGAGAAATTTGAAAAATAAAGCAGATTACTTGTTATTGATGATTAAAGCAAAAATTACTTACACTAATAGTTTGATAATATTGTAGGCAAGTTAAATCCTTATCTTATGATGTATGCTGGACATAACATTTGCCAATTTGAGTTTTAAGGTCATGTTACTTTTTGTGGAGCCAGATATGAAAACTGATCTATGTCTCCCATCATGTGGGGTTTCCTAATTAATATATACTACAAAAATGTGCTTCAATGAGAAAATAAATAAGTGCAAACATAGTAATTAAGAATTATACCTTCACGTTGGCTGTGGTAAAAGCAGGAGTAATAATATGCCTGTGTCTAACCCATTCATCTCCTTCTACCATAACAAGTCCTTTCCCAAACATGGCTTTTCTATCCCTTTTAAACACTGTTGGTTTTCCCCAAGTTTTACCCATAACTCCAGCAGACATCTTCTTGATAAATTCTGGGTCAGCAATGTAGACAAATGGTTCTGTTCCTAGCCAGTATGTAAATACTTTTCCTGCAAAAAATAATAAAATTATAAACACTATTTCATTTACACTATATGTAAGAATGTAGTTATATAAAATTTCATCTCAAAGAATCAATTAGGGATGGATGTATAGCATAATAATCTACGTGTTCAGCTGAACTCAGTAGCTTTAGCAAAGATACTGTATATGTTAAGGGTTAATCTGGTACACTAAGCTTCTGCTATGCACAAAGTCCGAGGAAGGGCCAGGCCAACAAAAGTCTATTGTACGTAGTCTTACTCTGCATTTCTGTAAGAGACTGCTTTCACAGCTCGAATCATGACCTCTTGGTCATATGACAACAACTTTACCAGTTACGTCAGAACTCTCTTACACTATATATATGTTGTTAAAGCTATCTATTAAATATGTATAAATATTAAATTTCGAACCCAATAACGTCTCAAATGACTAGTAGGTTCCATGTTTTGTGATGAGGGTAGTTCTTAATTACATGTTGAAGAAAACATGCATTATAGTATATATTATACGTACCATGCAATTTCTGCCATGTAGCAAAGTAAGGAAATGCCAATGAATGAATATCATGGCTAATATCATTAACAGAAGAAGATGAAGGAGTAAAAGAAGTTTTCTTCATCATTAGCTCTTTCTTCATGTCGTTAATATTCCCAAGTGGAAAATTAGGGGTTGGTCCCTCAAATCCATTTGCCTTAAGTTTCCTATACATGAGTTTAGGCATAATCCACCAAGAATATAAAACTTTACATAACACACACAAAATTGTGAACATGCCTAACATGCTTGCAAATTGGATGAATTCCATGTTTTTTTTCTCTCTCTCAATATAAAATAATAACTAGCTTGATGAATAATGAATTTTCAAGTTTGATTAGTAAAATGGAAAAACAAAACGATTGATGAGTGATGAGAGAACGTTGCATGTATGGGTATTTATAGAAGGACAAGTTTGACGAGCCCACAAGGAATTAAAGTCAAAAGTTGACAATTGACCAATATATATATGAGATAAAAATACCAATAAATTAAATAACAACTTTTGATGTAGTCCCTCGGTCCCATTTTATATGACACTCTTTTTTTTTATTCCGTCTCAAACGAATGTCTCTTTATTATAATTAGAAATAATTTAACTTAAAAATTCCTCAATTTGTTCATAATGAAATGATTTACAGGAACACAAATATCTAAGAATTGTTTTAAGCTATAAGTTTCAAATTTTTTTTTCTTATACACCATACATACTAAGTAAAAGGGTGCCACATATCCCATTTTATATGACACTTTTTTTTTAAGTCCGTCCTAACACGAATGTCTCCTCGCTATAATTAGAAATAATTTAACTTTAAAATTCCTCTTTTACCCTTAATGAAATGATTCTCAGACACACAAAAATCTAAAAATTGTTTTACGCTATAAATTTTAAAAAATTTCATATTTTTTCTTATACACCATACTAAGTCAAAAGGTACCACGGAGGGAGTACTGAATTTGAACATGCACTTTTTTTCTGGTTTTACGTATTTTTATATAAATATATTTGTTAGTATTTAATAGGGAGTACTAATTTATTTATTTATATATGTATTGCATGAATGTTTGTATATATTCCATGTTAGTCTCTACTGAATATAATTATTTGATTTGTCAAAGTAGAAGTTGGTCGTCAGATAAATTCAATATTGCGGCTGTACACATGTCGTTATGGTGCACAATTGCCGGCCAACATTTAATTCCACAACCCTTTCTTTATGCTTCACCTACAAATTGCAATTTTTATTATTGTCTCGATTATTATTTATTTTTACCATCGATTACTTAATTTGTGCCATGGTATAACCTTTTTTGTTTTTAATTCTATTATACTCCTTCCGTCTCAATTTAATTGACATAATTAAACTTATGAGATTTAATGTCATGATCATATTGGTTTACCCTAATTTCTTAGGTAGTTTAACGTACGATTGACCCTGAGATCGGTTAGGCCATAAATTTTTTAAGTTTTTTGAAATAAAATTTGTATATTAAAACAACGTAAAAGGTACTATGTATCACTATATAATTAACAACTTAAAATATTTAAAAGACATAAGAAATTTTTTTAATTAAATAAAACACTTTTGATTGTGTCACATAAATTGAGATGTACTTAGAAGATCTCTTAACTTTTGTATAATGAATTAATATTTTCAAATTAAGGATGTTCTACACAATAATATGTAACTCGATATTTAAAAAAATCACAATTTGATCTACTGAATATTTTATAATCATGATGCTCGGATTAACTTAGCTTATCTCAATTAATTTCATGAATTATATGTTATCTCTTACTAACATAAATTCACCACAAAAATTAGGACAGAGAAAAAAACCACCTACTAAATAGTATATATATTTTATGCAGTAACATATATATATATATATATATATATATTACTATTATATTATTATTATTATTATTATATTAAAATGCACTGTGTAAAATTATTTACACATATATATCAAGTATTTTTAATGGCTAGCATCATGAAAACAACTACTACACAAGGTCCTCACAAAATGCAAAAACCCAAAATGTAATATAACCTGAATTTTTAGTATGATTATTTTTTATTTAGATTTTACACTCTTACCAAATATTCCACTACAAAGTAATAAGTTTAACTAAAAATTATAGTAATTGTATATGTTTATGGAAAAGTTAATTATAAAATAGCTTTTCTGGTTGATTAAATTACGTACTATTGCTAGTCGTCTAATTAATTTCCTCTTACTCGTTGATCACTCATATTCCAAATTTCAACCATCGGCTAGAGTAAAAAAGAAAATTCAATTTCAACAAAATATACTCCCTCCGTCCCAATTTATGAGACACATTTTGGATTTTGAGATTCAAATAAGTCTATTTTTGACGTAAAATTTTCATATATCTTTTAAATATTTTGGATTGTCAATTATTGTGACTTATAGTACTTTTTACATAGTTTACATATATATAAATTTTATTTTTAAAAAATTGAAGATTTCATGCGCAAATTTCTGGTCAAACTTAAACTGTTTGACTCTCGAAAAATGAAATGTGTCACATAAATTGAGACAAAAAGAGTATATAGGGAAAAAAAATTTATTTTTATTTTTATTTTTATTTTTATTTGTAGAATTATATAACATCCTTGTCAATTATAGCTAGAAAAAAGTCGGTAAGATATCTAAACATTTTAGTTGTCAACTTAACACACACACAAAAAAAGCGAGCTGTGATTAGTTTAATATTGTTTTAAGAAAAGATATAAGCTTTTTCATGTACTGTAGCCATGGATTTGTTTGACTGATTATAATTCTTCTTTCGTAAGCTTTTTCTGTTCTCATTTCAAAATAGTATTCTTTTCCACATTTTATGTCCACGACATATATACACCTTAATCCTTGTTTCTAAGCATTTTTTTTGGTCATATATAATATATTCCTTTAATTAATTTCTTGGTCAAGATTTAAGAATCATATAATATGATATATTACTTTAGTTAATTTCTTGGTCAAGATTTAAGAATCACGTATAACACACACGTACTAGAATAGAATTTTCTCAAAGACCAAAGGGTACACACATTTTAGCTGGTCGCGCGGCTAAAAATAATTACATTCGGTAGTTAAACATATGTAAAAATATATATTATTTTGTATTATAAAGGTATTGTTTGCAAACATTTAGAAAATAAATTACAAAAAATATGAAAAAAAACATAATTTTATTAATAAATATTGTGGGTACAAATTTGTTTATCCCTTGATTCTTCTCTCTCTCAATTTTCTCTATGATTCGAGGGCGTTAGTGATGTATTTCTCGAACTAGGATGATTTGGATTTCTCCGTGATTCGAGGGTCGTTAGTGACGTCTTTCCCGAACTATGATGATTTAGATTTCTCTGTGATTCGAGGGTCGTATGCCTTATTTCTCGAACTAGGATGATTTGAACTTCTCTGTGATTCAAGGACCATTAGTGGCGTATTTCTTGAACTAGGATGATTTATACTTGATCTCCATAATTGAATTTGTGGATCTTCTTGAAATATTTGATTATCAAGAAGAGTCTGACATATTTTTGATGCCTACGGCATATTTTATGTATATCATACATTATTATATAAAAATTATATATTTCTTGATTATTATTTTGATGGACAACTATTTATCTTATTATTAAATAATTAATCAAATTATGAACAATTTCATTCCAATTATAGGTGGTTGTTCTTCTTCTTTCAATTCTGCCTTTCCTCACTATGTATTTCTAAGAAAATGTTGCCCGTCATCCCATGTCATGAAAACAAAAGTTTTCACGATTAGTTTCTAATTGGAGAAGGTGCATTATTTGTTTGACCTATAATTTCATCATGTAATGTACTTTTTGGTGAAGGAGGTTTCATATAACCATAATCATTCACCACTTTTTATTATGCACGATGATTTTTATCATGTGATAGGTCATCGAAGTTTGAACAGATGCGGAGAAGCAAAGGCCAAACTTTCTTATAACCTAACGGGAATGAACAATGACAAAATGAGATGTCAAAAATTTGGTTGATTCTGATGATGAAAAGAAATTTTATCTTATGGGAAATTTATGAAACTCGAAATGGTGATAATGCTAAAAGATGACCTATAACATTTTATGGTCAGATGTCGTAGCTCGGTATATCTTTAAAAGTTCAAATGGACAAAATAAACAGACTTCTCGAACGCTGCTTAAGCCACTTTAGTATCAGTATACCTATAACCAATATCATAACAATTATTGAGGGAAAAAAAGAAGAAACAATCTTCTGCTATATTTCAATACACTTTTTCTATTCATGATCATCGCTAGCAGTCATTTACAATTATCAATATAACTATGACCATTATCATAGCAATTATTTAGAGGAGAAAAGTCGATTTTGTGCTTTATTTCAACATACTTGTTCTATTTACCACTAGCCATCATTTACTACTATCAGTATACTTATAACAATTATCATGATAGCAATTATTAAGGTGGGAAAGGCGATCTTGGGCTATATTTCAGCACACTTTCTTGATGTAGCTAAATATAGTTATTCCACTCTATGTACAAAGTGTTCTTTTTTCCTTTTTCTCTTTGTATGTATGTGTTTCACGGCCTTGTTAACATTTACGATGATTATAATCAGTATACCTATAATCATTATCATAATAATTATGGAGGAAAAAGGCGATTTTGTGCTATATTTCAATACAGTTTTCTATTCATGATTACTACTAGCCATTATTTATGATTATCAGTATACCTATGACCATTATCATAACAATTTTTGCGGGGAGAAAAGGTGATTCCATGCTTTATTTTTCAACACACTTTTTCTATTTACCATTAGCCGTCATTTACGATTATCTGTATATATAGTTAACCATTGTCTTAACAATTATTGAGGGGGAAAAGGCGATCTTGTGCTATATTTCAGTACACTTTTTCTATGTAGCTAAATATAGTCAGTCCACTCCGTGTACGTAGTCCTTTTATTTTTTTCTGTATTATATTTAGCAACATTATTATTATTATTATTAATATTATAATCAAGCTGTCGTCTGAGCTTGGTACTAACACAACAATAAGCAAGAATATAAGCTGTTCATGTGAACATTAATTAATTGTCTATTAATAACTAGTACTTATGTCAGATACACGTTGGATTTTCAGACATTATTCCTCAAGAGACTTCAAAATATAACGCGGGTTATTTAGTTATTAAGTACATTTTAAAAAAAATGATTTTTTCATTACTATATTTCTTCTTACTATTGATTTTGATCAATATGTTTTACTTGAGTCAAGGATCTATCGAATACAACATCTCTACCTTCACAA